TCTTATTGATCAGGCTGGAGTGCAATGGCATGATTTTGGCTCACTGAAACCTCCACCTCTTGGGTTCAAGTGGTTTTCCTGCCTCAGCCTCCTGAGTAGCTGGGATTACAGGTGCGTGCCACCACACCCAGCTAAATTTTGTATTTTTAGTAGAGATGGGATTTCACCATGTTGGCCAGACTGGTCTCAAACTCCTAACCTCAGGTGATCCACCTGTCTCAGCCTCCCAAAGTGCTGGGATTACAGGCGTGATCCACCATGCCCAGCCTAGGCTACTTTCTTTTATCTTGAGCACATGGCTTTCTGGTCTCTCCATTTCCACCCTGCCTATCCCCCATCCATTGAGCAGCTAGAGTGATCTCAAAATATCCCTCCACCTTTCTCCTTATATTGTATTCACTTCCTCACTTAAAACTTTTCAGTGGCTGCTGGGCATGGGGGCTCACCCCTGTAATCCTAGCGCTTTGGGAGGCCCAGGTGGGTGGATCACTGAGGTCATGAGTTCAAGACTGGCCTGGCCAAAGTGGTGAAACCCCGTCTCTACTAAAAATACAAAGCTTAGCTGGGTGTGGTGGCGCCGGCCTGTAATCCCAGCTACTCAGGAGGCTGAGGCAGGAGAATCACTTCAACCTGGGAGGCGGAGGTTGCAGTGAGCCCACATCGCACCACTGGTCTCCAGCCTGGGTGACAAAGCAAGACTCTGTCTCAAAAAAAAAACAACTTTTCAGTGGCTTCCCTTTCTCTTTGGATAAAGATCAAAATCTTACCAGGGTTGCAGGATTGCAGGGTTTCACCCCAGCCCCCAGCGTCACCTCTTCATTTTGCTCTTTTAGCCAACATCTATGGGGCCTCAGGGCTTTGCACAAACCCCGGCCCCTACCCTATGAACTAGTGAACACAGTCTCCATAGGCAGGGACAGGGACTTCATAGTGAGAGACAGGTCTCCCTTGAGACCTGCATGTACCTCGTTTCTTTGCTTCAAAGCACATATCAAAATTACAGTTGTAATTTTAAGTTTCTTTATGAACAGTTATGCAATTGCCTTTCTCCCCAACTGAACACTACACACCTATAAAGACAAGACAGTGCCCATTTTCACACATCACGGTATCCCCAACACTAGCCTAGAGCCTGGCACAAGATAGTCATGCAATTTCTTGAATGAATGGAGAGACCACATAGGAAAGAGTAGGGCATGCAATTTAGATGGAATAAGATGATAAGAATTTAGATGAGATAGAAACAGATTCCTCCTGTTTCTCTCACTGTGGCGATAAACAACAAAAAAGTGGTTCAAAACCCAGGCTAGGTGCGGTGGCTCATGCCTGTAATCCCAGCACTTTGGGAGGCTGAGGCGGGCAGATCACCTGAGGTCAGGAGTTCCAGACCAGCCTGGCCAACATGGTGAAACCCCGTCTCTACAAAAAATACAAACATTAGCCAAGCGTGGTAGTACATGCCTGTAGTCCCAGCTACTTGGGAGGCTGAGGCAGGAGAACCACTTGAACCTGGGAGGTGGAGGTTGCAGTGAGCTGAGATCGTGCCACTGCACTCCAGCCTGGGCGACAGAACGAGACTCTGTCTCAAAAACAAAACAAAACAAAACAAAAACCTTAACTAGATGAGCACAGAGGAATTTTAGGGCAGTGAAAATACTCTATATGATATAATGGTGGATACATGTCATTGTACATTTTTCCAGACGTCTAGAATGTATAACACCCAGAGCAAACCCTAATGTAAACTACAGATTTGGGGTGATAATGACGTGTCAGTGTAGGTTCATGGTTGTAACAAATGCATCACGGTGTAAGATGTTATCATGGGGGAGGCTGTGCATATGTTGGGGCTGGGAGTATGTGGGAAATCTCTGTACTTCTCTCTCAATTTTGCCACGAACCTGAAAATATTCTAAAAAATAAAGTCTGTGGCCAGGTTCAGTGGCTGTAACCTGTAATCCCAGCACTTTGGGAGGCGTGGCTGCTGGATCGCTTGAGGCCAGGATTTCAAGACCAGCATGGGCAACATAATGCGACCCCATCTCTACAAAAAATTAAAAAATTAGCTGAGTGTGGTGGTGTGTGCCTGTAGTCCCAGCTACTTGGGAGGCTGAGGTGGGAGGATCACTTGAGTGTGGGAGGTGAAGGCTTCAGTGAGGCGAGATCACACCACTGCACTCTAGCCTAGGTGATAGAGTGAGACCCTGTCTCAAAAAATAAAAATAAAGTCTTTAAAAAACATAAATAAATATAAATACCATAGCTAGAGCAGAACTTTGTGGTCTGTTATCGTTAGTTACTCTTTCCAGTGATAAATTACCATTGCTGCTAAAATGAATAATTAGCTTTATTTAATGAGCTTAAGAGCTCTTCTGGGAGCCACCCTCAGTCGATTGTCAGTCTTGGAAGGAGCCCAGTGATCTTTAACCAGTCTAATCTTCCTTCACCAGTCATTTTTTAAAATGCAGTGAAGTAATGATTAGCTAACCATCCCTTTTTCCTGCAAATTATCTTTGTCAAGAGGGAGTTTTTGAATTAGACTGCTTAGAAGCCTCTTCCCTTGAGACAAGTGGGAAATAAGCTTGTCATCAATTATTGGTCTGACAAAGTAAAAAAAAAAAAAAAAAGGAATTAGGCTGGGTGCAGTGGCTCACCTGTATTCCCAGAACTTTGGGAGGCCAAGGTGGGAGAATCACCTGACCGCAGGAGTTTGAGACCAGCCTGGACAACATCAAGAGACCATATCTCTACAAAAAGTTTAGAAATTAGCCAAGCACAGTGGTGTTTTCCTGTAGTCCCAGCTATTTAGGAGACTAAGGTGGGAAGATCACTTGAGCCCAGGAGTTCGAGACTGCAGTGAACTATGATTGCACCACTACACTCCAGCCTGGGCCATAAAGTGATACCCTGTCTGGAAAAAAAAAAAAAAAGAGCTGCTCTACCAGACTCCTGTTTCTCCCCCTTCAAATTTTTATAATGTAATCTTCCTACAACACACTCAGATCAATATTTTCTAGAACATTTAGACAGTCCCATTGTCCTATACAGTCAGGTTCAGCCCTTTACATAACATAAAAGATGTGGCCACAGCCCTCTGCCATGTGCCTCCAACACCACATTTCCAGCCCTGGGAGCCTCCTTAGTCTTCCCAGAAACTCCGTGGGACTTTGCTTTCCTTAGGCCTGGAGGACTATAGAGCTGGGCAAGCTTCCATAGCTCACGCTGGTGTTAATCATCGCCATTCTCCTAGTACACAATCTCTGATCCACTTACAGTTCCTGTGAGCTTTAGGGACTCATTGTGGGAAGAATGAGAAATATAAACCCAAAAGATGGCCAACCCCTGGGGCCTGGCCTATTGTCCTCCATTTCCTGCTGCCCCAGCAGATGCTGCACCCTGGGCCAGCCATGCGCTTTATGTGCCCTATACCTCTCTCAGAAGTTTTCATGAAGCCAGGTGTGGTGGCGCACGCCTGTAGTCCCAGCTACTCATCAGGCTGAGGCAGGAGGATCGCTTGAGCCCAGAAGTTGGAGGCTGTAGCAAGCTACAGTCATACCACTGCACTCCAGCCTGGGGACAGAGCGAGACCCTGTCCCTAAAAAAAAAAAAAAAGTAATTGTCCATGAGTTGTCATCAAAGGTATACATGTGAGGCCAGGCACGGTGACTCACGCCTGTAGTCCCAGCACTTTGGGAAGCCAAGGTGGGCAGATTGCTTGAGGCCAGTAGTTCAAGACCATCCTGGACGTTGTGGCAAATCCTGTCTCTACAAAAAATACAAAAAATTATCCAGGCATTGTGGCACAAGCCTGTGGTCCCAGCTACTCCAGAGGCTGAAGTGGGAGGATCACTTGAGTCCAGGAGTTTAAGGCTGCAGAGAGCTGTGATTGCACCGCTGCACTCCAGCCTGGGTGATGGAGTGAGACCCTGTTTCAAAAACAAAAAATATATATATACACATGAGCTGCCCACACTAGCCTCTGAATTAGCAGTGCCTGGCGCTTCGCTGAATTAATGTCCCTGGAATGTCTACTCCCTCTTTACGGTTACTGTCCTCTTCTCAGCTGACCCTACATAGAGTGACTCAGTAGTCACCAACAAGGAATGTCACTGCTGGCAAAGTCATCTGCAAGGTGATTAGACACTGGGTCTCTAGTTGCAGTTCTGCCACTAACAGGCTGTATGTACAAGGGAAGTTTTCTTTATTTACATAGACTTGGTAAGGGTTTTTGAAATATTAGAGGGCTGGGAACCATTTTGATGATTTCAGGAAAGGAAGGAAAATCGCCTGTTGGGTGCCTCCTGAGCGGGTGTCAGAACCTGGGATAGGCGCTGTTGCTGGTCGTCCCCCACTTGGTCCTCAGAACTTGCTGAGATAGGTGTGACAATTGCATAACTGCTGACAGCCAACCCAAGGAAGTCACTGCAAAGGGACCTGCTACCCACTTAATTTCACACCATTCATTCATTTATTCATTCACTTAGTAGATATTGGTTATTGAGTGCTTGCCAGGTATCAGTCCCTGCAGCAGGTGCTAGCGATAATGAGAGAACTAAGTCCCAGTCCATGACGTCGTGGCGTTTACAGTCTATCTAGCCTTGCGGCTTTATGCTGCCTTTAACAAAGGTCCTGTAGAAGAAATTATTGCTCACTGGCCACCATTAACCCGCACACCGCGTCCTCCTGCTGCTCAGCCACCTGCTTCTCCACGATGGCGATGGAAGAAGAGATCATCATGCTTATCATTGACAATGGGTCTGGCAGGTGCAAAGCTGGCTTTGCTAGGGATGATGCCCCCCGAACCATGTTCCCCTCCATTGTCGGGTGCCCTGGGCACCAGATCACGATGGTGGACATGGATGGGCCAGAAGGACTCCTATGTGGGTGACGAGGCCCAGAGTAAGTGCAGCATCCTGACCCTGAAGTATCCCATGGAGCAGGGCATGGTCACCAACCAGGATGACATAGAGAAGATCTGGCCCCACACCTTCTACAACGAGCTGCGTGTGGCCCCAAGGACCACTCAGTGCTGCTGACCAAGGCCCCCCGAACCCCAAGACCAGCAGAGAGAAGACGACTTGGATCATGCTTGAGACCTTCAACACCCTGGCCATGTGTGTGGCCATCCACGCTGTGCTGTCCCTCTAGTCCTCTGGGCACACCAGTGGCATTGTCACGGACTCTGAAGATGGGGTCGCCCACATGATGCCCATCTCCCCTAACCAACTACCTCATGAAGATCCTCACCAAGTGTGGCTACAGCTTCACCCCCATGGCCGAGTGGGAGATAGTGCATGACATCAAGGAGAAGCTGTGCTACGTTACCCTGGACTTCAAGCAGGAGCTGGCCACCGCCGTGTTCTCCTCATTCCTGGAGAAGAGCTATGAGCCACCTGACGGCCAGGTCGTCACCATCTGCAACGAGTGGGTCTGGTGTCCAGAGGCAGTGTTTCAGCTTTCTTTCCTGGGCATGGAAGCCGCGGCATCCATGAGACCACCTTCAGTTCCATCATAAAGTGTGACGTGGACATCCACAAATACCTGTAGGCCGAGATGGTGCTGTCCTGCGGCACCACCATGTACCTGTACATTGCAGGCAGGATGCAGGAGATCACCAGCCTGGCGCCCAGCACCATGAAGATCACATCATCGAGTACCCTGAGCGCAAGTACACGGTGTGGATCGGTGGCTCCATCCTGGCCTCCCTGTCTGCCTTCCAGCAGATGTGGATTAGCAAGCAGGAGTATGAGGAGTCGGGCCCCTCCATCATCCAGCACAAATGCTTCTAAATGGACTGCGAGCAGATGCCTAGCATTTGCTGCATGGGTTAATTCAGAAGAATAAATTTGCTCCTGGCAAATGCATACACCCCATGCTAGCCTCATGAAACTGGAATAAGCCTTCGAA